TCCCCCTGGCCAGGCTCCTGCCATGGTGACTTCCCTGGCTGTGTCTTTTAGTACTGGACAGTCAGGCCCATGTCCCCGCTCCAGAGCAGGGTGAGGCTTTGCTGGAGGACCCAGCAGACACCCTGCTAACGCACTGACACATCCTGCCTTCAGGTGAAGCCCTGGGTGCTATTGGGAATCCCAACGTGCTGGATATCCTGAAACGCTATTCAGAGGATCCTGTGGTTGAGGTGAGGCTCTTGGGGAGGTTGGGGGGTTCATTTCCCCTCCAAGGGGTCCACAGGGCTTGGAGCAACCTGCTCTGGTGGAAGGTGTCCCTGCCTATGGCAGGGGGTTGGAACTGGAGGAGCTTTAAGGTCCTTTCAACCCAAACCAGGCTGGGATTCCATGAAAAATATCTTACTGCTGCTGACTCCTTGCTGCCTTATCCAAGCCCATTCCCATCCCTCCCACAAGGGCTCTGTCCTCATCCCTGCAGGTAGCCGAGACATGTCAGTTGGCAGTGAGGAGACTGCAGTGGCTGCAGGAGAACAAGCACGATCCAGGCACCAGCCCCTACCTCTCCGTGGATCCCGCTCCCCCTGCGGAGGAGACGGATGTCACCAAACTCCGTGAGACCCTCCTGGACGAGTCCCGGCCGCTGTTCGACCGCTACAGAGCCATGTTTGCCCTGCGGAACGTGGGGGGCCGCGCTGCTGTGCTGGCGCTGGCGGATGGTGAGGGCAGGCTCCGTGCTGTAACTCTCTATAGGTTAATCCAGGATTAGCCCTTCCCAAACCCGGAGCTCTGGGGCTCCTCTTGGGCTCTTCACAGATGTGTTTCTGGAGCTGCTCTCCACCCCCCTGCTTGCTTGCAGGAGCCACATTGCAAAGCACTCGGTGCTCTCTTGCGTTCACAGCCCCTGTAACGTCCTCCCTTGCTCCATGGCTCCAGGTGGGAGAGAGCACAGGCTGTAATATTGGCTTGGGACCAACCAGTCTGACCTGGTAGGACCTGGGCCCTGCTCTCAAGTTGGAGGCTGCCAACTTCCTCCTGGGGTTTGGGAATAGCTTTGGAGTTGGGAGTGAGTGTCTCCTGAGTGGGGAAGGGGTAAACCACAGCCCAGGGACTGTTTGGGTGCACAGCCCAACGCAAGGGAAGCGGTTGAGCCTCTCCAGCCATCTGGGACGAGTCAAGAGCACAAGCTCCTGCTACAGCTTTTCAGCCCCACAGCACGGCAGGACTTGAGGTTGAGCTGCCAGCACCCCCCAGGCACCTTGTGCTGGTGGAGCAGGGTCCATGGGCAGTGCAGGCTCCCCAGGGCAGGGAAAGGGGCCAGCAGCTCCATCACAAGAGGGTCTCTGTGTGCCAGAGCTGCTGTGGCCGTGCAGGCTCAGAGCAGGGTGGGACACCCGTTCCCATAGATGTTTTGTCCCCCTCCCCAAACCTGCGTGGGTCTGTGGCAGTGACTGCCAGCTCTAACCCCCAGGGTGTGCTCCCCATGGCTTTGGGGGTGGGTGCAGGGCTCTGACCACGCACCCC